TTTAGCTTTGGTCTTGAGCCACCAACGCGAACGCCCCGTCAATCACTCGCTTCGAAAGGCTACCTTTAAGACCCAAGCTAAAGACGCTGCGTCTGTGACGCTTAGTTCGAAAGGCTACCTTTACTGCAAGTAACAAAGACGCGTTGCGAACTTTTTGGCTAAATGGCTTCGGCAAATAACGTCCACTGCTGGACAAAGGCCTCGCCCAAGGATTTCTATAACGACCGGTCCTGCACTACCCGCATCCAGGCACCTTTACCAGATCGTCGGTCTACTTAGTGAGGGGCCTTACTACTTTGGGCGTCACGAAGTATTTGACGCTGACTGTACCGATGTTGCCATGGGTTGCGTTTGCGTCATTCACGAAATGTAGGTACAGCCTTTAAGAAAGGTCAGTGGTGTAGACAGCACCAAGGTGCCAGACCTTATAAAGCTGTAAATAGGGGTGGTTTTGCAACAATAATATAGCGACTGTCTTGTACATATAGGCACAGAATAATAATAAGTACTACGTACAGAAGTTTTACTTCGCGAAGGTATTTAAAAAAATGTATGCTCAATGTCATTAACAATATGGTGTAATTTAGCCTGTCTCAAGAGTCAAGCACCATTTTGTTGACAAACGTCAGTGATCGGCACTGCGCCGAAGCTATAGGGCTGACTTCGGTAAAATGATGTGACGTGAGGTGCCAAACTGCGGAAAATGGCGGAGGAAATACATGATTTAGCATGAATTATCATGAATAATATTAACTACTTATTTACCTCTTAGTGTCTTGAGGCAACTTAAAAGAGTACATTCTGTGTTTTTATTATTATTTAGGCAGTACTAGCTTTCCGCCCGCGGCTTCGCCCGCGTGGAATTTTGTCTGTCACAGAAAAACTTTATCGCGCGCGTCCCTGTTTCAAAAACCGGGATAAAAACTATCCTATGTTCTTTCCCGGGACTCAAACTATCTCTATGCCAAATTTCATCAAAATCGGTTGCGAGGTTTAAGCGGGAAAGCGTAACAGACAGACAGACAGACAGAGTTACTTTCGCATTTATAATATTAGTTGGGATTTCGAAATGCTTTACCAAACATACTGAGGTTTGTCATAATTTCGACTATTTAATAGATAGGACAAGCTAATATTTTTATCAAAATAGCTTTCCGCCCGCGGCTTCGTCCGCGTGAAATTTTGTCTGTCACAGATAAACCGGGATAAAAACTGTCCTATGTCCTTTCCCGGGACTCAAACTATCTCTGAGCCTTTCATCAAAATCGCTTCAGTGGTTTAGGCGTGAAAGCGTGACAGATAGACAGACAGATAGACACACAGACAGACAGAGTTACTTTCGCATTTATAATATTAGTATACAGGGTGTTAGGTAAATGGGTATATGAGCCGACACTAGCCCATGTTAACATGGGCATATAAATGGTATGGTGAAGTCAGAAAGTTGATATCATCATTTATTTTTTTTTTTAATTTTCATACAAAATAAATTTTATAAAATCCAATTTGTCTGAAAATTAAAATAATTAAATTTAAGATATCAATTTTCTGACTTCACCATACCATTTATATGCCCATGTTAACATGAACTAGTGTCGGCTCATATACCCATTTACCAAACACCCTGTAGATATAATGTTAATTAGATCGTGTAATAAGGTCTCAAAATATAGGTAAGTTACCAATGGTAAACATTGAAATAATTTATGTGTAAGTGAAATATAGATTTTGGGCACATATCAATAAACGGTTTTGGATATAAATAAATCTGTGTGACCGTGCTCACAAGGTCGCCATGTGGCAAAATGAAGTAAGTATTATTATTTAACTTTTCCAAACCTGATATTGCAATAACTGCCTCGACCCTTTTAGCCGAGGTTATGACAAAATAAAAAATGCAGTCCAAAATATAAATCCCAACTAATATTATAAATGCGAAAGTAACTCTGTCTGTCTGTCTGTCTGTCTGTCTGTCTGTCTGTCTGTTACGCTTTCCCGCTTAAACCTCCTAACCGATTTTGATGAAATTTGGCATAGAGATAGTTTGAGTCCCGGGAAAGGACATAGCTAGGATAGTTTTTATCCCGGTTTTTGAAACAGGGACGCGCGCGATAAAGTTTTTCTGTGACAGACAAAAATCCACGCGGGCGAAGCCGCGGGCGGAAAGCTAGTGTGCTATAAAAATACGATCAAGTGCATTTCGACTTTGCAGTGTAGGGTTCCGTAGTTGCCAATTTGGGTACCTAGAAGTCACTATGATGCTATGGTATTTTCTACCAGCTTATCCTACTAATATTGTAAATGAGAAAGTTTGGATGTCTGGATGTGTGTTACTCTTTCACGCAAAAATTGCTGAACGGATTTTAATGAAACTTTACAGTATTATTGTTTATAACCCAGATTAACATAATATAGGCTATAATTTATGACAATCTGTGACAAACTAAATTTCACGCGGGTGAAGCCGCGGGCAAAAGCTAGTGACAGATAAATGTAACTTCTAAATATTTTTTGTATTAACTCTATGTTGTACTTACTATTGTTATGTTATAAGCATATAACATTGAGGTTTTTGTATCTAAATCCGTACATACTCTTTGCCTGAAGGAGTAACAAACATTAACATTCATCTTAATCCATGTAAGTACCTACTACACAAACGTGTATGTGCAACTTCACACCTTACTTTTAGAGAAGTTATACTTGTAGGTACCTTCTTCAGAATGACGTAGAAACAAAATAAATAATATAGCAAGAATCCGGTATGGAATGTTACATAACAACTTTGACTGTAAGTATGTAGTAAGTACGAGTATACATATATTGTTAACATAACCACAAATTATACAGCACATAATGTGATAGATGCTAAGTTAATCATAAAACTGTTACATTGTAACAAAGATTGTCATTTACTTATGCCTAGTTTTGATTTGTTCATTTGTATAGAGTTGTAGCACATAAAATACGTATGAATACACATATTTTTTCAGTTTAAGACTGTTAATATTGTTGTATGATTATTCTCCAAACATTCACAAAAGAAAATCTTTGGCGACTTGCTTATTAATTATAAGACATAATTACCTATTTCATGCTAAACACAAAAGCCTTATATTTTTCCATTACGTTAAACCATAATAAAAGACACCTCATTGACAAACGGGTTTAAATGCGCAAGTTAGGATGTTTGTTGTTTTGAAAACGTTTATTATTAGAAGCTGCAGTGCAATAACATAAAAATGTCAACGTCATTTATGGGTGGGTAAAGGTGAAATTAACAAAAAAACCCATTAAGTATATTTAACTAGATAGAGTCATGAACTGCATGAACTTTTAGTTAGTAAACCTTCAAGGGTCATGTACCCATGTTACTTAACATAGTGTAAAGGTAAATGAGTTTCTTGCGCTGCTTCTCAGCACTGGCCCATTTCTTACAGTGGTATTAGTTCGTTTCATCCACAAAGACGCGCGCCCTATACATTTTTGGTTGAGGGAAGCGCGGGGAGTTTGATCCGAGCAATCCGAGCATCATTATTGTAGAGTGCGTGTGCACTCATGGATGATTTAGCGTATACAGATAACACTCAAACATTAGCGGAAGAATGGTGGGGCGCGTCTTCATGGATGAAACTATCTATAGGGTTAAAGAAATACTGGGACGTGTAAAAGCGCTTCCCAAAAGCTTATTTGCAGAAAATATATGACTTTTAAACACCCAGTTTTTTCATACTTATACTAACGCCGCTCTACATTGAACTACCTTTTAAGCTGTTTTAATCGTCTAAACATAACAAAACATGTTGTCAATTTTTATATTTATTTTCCATAAAACCCAGTGAAAAATACGTACCAATTTATGTTATCTACCACTTAATGCGTTAAGTGCTTCAAGTTAGACGTTTTGAGCCGGACGATAGTCGTCCGTTTGCTGGACTGCACTTGGAGAATTTTATGACTACTGCATTGGAATAATAATGATTTACCAAACAGTTGCATAGAATGTTGTAGTCTGGACAGCGAACGACTGAAGCTAAACTAACTGAGCTTAGCTCTTGGTCTGCAACCCGCGTTATGGTGTACATAGCACCATCGATTCAGGGAAAATGCCAACAACGTTAATAATTCACAAGGAACCAACGGGCAAACTTACTTAATTATGAAAAGAGCGGAAAACCACGAAAAGTTCTTAAACACCTGAGACCCAAACCCTAGTAACAAGCCTCTACCAAAGTTTGTGGCTTATTATAAAAAAAAGTAAAGGTCTTACTTTTTGTACATTGATGGTTTTGGGTCATTGCCCAAATTAATAAGTAAATTTAATTTATCGAACACTCGTAAGCTTAACGGCATTAAATAAGTAAGTACTGCAATGTTAAAAGTGTTTTAATTTAAAAACATTGCGAACGTAATTTTTCATGTGAAAACAAGTGGCCGAAAAATAAACATATTATTAATATGGTTAAAAGATTTTTTAGTACGAATATACCCTTATTGACATAATGGTGGCCGTACAGGATTCCCCGTCTATGTTTATTTAGTCGTGGAGCACTAAATGTGTTCCTAAAGTAGGTAGGTAGGTACTTAATAAACTTAAAAAAAAATCCAATTAAGCATGACTGTAGGTACGTCAATATTTTTTTACGGAAAAGTCCCGTCGCTTTGTGTGCCAGTGACGCAAGAATCAAAGTCAAAGAAAAAAGTAAAAAATGTATTTTTAATTGTTTATGAGTTTTACATAGTGCTTACAAATCGTCAAATATTTAAAGAAAAAAGTCAAATAAAAAAAAAGAGTTTTGTCTTAGCAAGCCTTTACATGTTTAATATTTGCCCTACCCGTCGATCCTACTAGGTTTGTTAAGGCTGTATGGCATAAAATATGCCTTTGCCTTTTCCGAAATACAAATAAAAAAAGTTTGTGCCAAAGATTGTTTCTTTTTTGTTTTAAAAAATAAACATAATTTGTTTGCTTTTAACTTATTAATTAATTTTGTTTCCAGACATGTGCCTGAGCAAGCGCGGGCCTCAGAACGGGCTCATTTTCCTGTTCGACATGCGAGGAGTCAAGCTCGGTCACCTCGCCCGGTGTGGACTGTCGTAAGTGTTTTGCTGTTTTGTTTTGGCTATGCGTTTATATAGGGTGTTGAATCAGCCGGGCTAGGATGCACGCCGGATAATATCTTATCGATGTTATTAGACGACAAACGTATGGGCTTATCGCGTACAATCGATAAAATGGCGCGATGAAAGCTTATCGCGGCGCGCATCCTAGGCCTACAGGTTTTAAATTGACGCATTTAAGGTCTCAAGTCAACATGCGTTTTGTAGTTATGCAGCTATTCCAATTCGGTGTCGATGCGTTAAAATCGCCACTATATTAAAATTCACTTCCAAATCCTTCATATTATAGTAATATCTAAGTATAGCATAGTATCTTTTTGGGTACGATATGACTTCCTTCCTACATGTAAGACTCGCGACTTTCATACTAAAAACACTATTTATTTTAAACTAGCTTTCCGCCCGCGGCTTCGCGCGCGTGGACTACATTATCTACATATTTTACGGAACCCTATTTTTTTCCAAAATATAATGTAGCCTATGTTACTCGTGGATAATGTAGCTTTCGAACGGTGAAAGAATTTTTAAAAACGGTCCAGTAGTTTTTGAGCCTATTCATTACAACCAAACAAACAAACAAAGTTTTCCTCTTTATAATATTAGTGTAGATTAATTTATTAAAACATTTAAAACCCTAAAAGTCACAAAGCAAAAAAAAACTGGGTGTTTAGTTAGTTCTGAACTAGGGATGTTATGGATATGTAGTTTCGTTTCGGGGATACGGTTACGGATAATATTATACCGGTTTCGGTTACGGTTAACGATGTTTTTTTTATTTCGGATATCCGAAAGTTTCGGTTACGGTTACGGATATCCATAACATCCCTGCTCTGAACATAGAATCGCCATCAACAATCAGACAAGATTATAAAATACAGTCTTTTCTAACCAAAATAGAACTACATAAACCTATGAAATTGTAAATATCCGTTTCATGTTTTATGAGCTCATAATGCCTGTAATTTAAAAGGTATTTTCATTTTCTTTTTGTTGAGTATAGATTTCAAGGTTTTCATCTGCGCATTAATGTTTCTATTGTTAATGAAAAAAATATGCTGTTTATCGTAATATTTGTGTCGTTTCATTGTTTTAAACAAATATAAATTATTCATTCCTGAAAAAAACAATGATTGTGCTGAAAATTTTGTATTCTTCCTATTTGGTAGGCAAGGAAGCACCTGTATTAATTTATTTCAATCACAAACTTTATTTTACTAAAACATTTGGAATTATTTTATTTGCAGTTGCAGACTTATAGGCCTGGCACATAACTCAGTCAGTACCTGAGGTATGGGAGCGGCACGGGAGGGTATTTTTGTAGACGTCAAACGTCAGTGAGACTTCGGATTTGTATGCTCTGTCACGTCATAATAAATAAATAATAAATAAATAAATCTTTGGACAATTTCACACAGCGCCAGCTAGCCCCAAAGTAAGCAAAACTTAATGCTTGTGATATGGGTGCTAGCTAGCTTAACGGATATACTACTTATATACTTTTTTTTTAAATACATAAATATTATTCATAGTCACACCCAGACCCGTCACATAAATTAAAATTCATCATTTCAATTTCTGCCCGGCCGGGAATCGAACCCGGGACCTCTCGGCATAGTAGTCCGTTCTGAACCACTACACCAAACGGCCGACTAATTTATATCAATCCCCTACCCGTACCGCTACAATACCTCAGGGATTCCGTGGAGGGTAGTTGAACGGGATTAGTATGGTCGATCTGTTTTAATGGTTTCAATTTATTATTGGACTTTAGTGTACAAATTTGGTGTTATTTATAAAAAAAAAACATTGAAACACTTCGAATTTGAGCGCGCATCGAGTGTCGAGTGGGTTGTCGTATGAACAACCCGCTTTGGACCCGGTGATGGCGGCTTGAAACCTGCTTACGGACATACCTACTTAACTCCACGGAATCCATGAAAAATCAATAGAACTGAAACACCCACGTTCTATTGATGATATTATGTCAATTTTTCACTCGACATTGGCAGAAATAAACCTCCCAGAGAGGTTTGGTTGGCACTAAATAAAAAAAAACAAACCTCAGGCACGGACTGAATTAAGCACTAGAACTATAATTCTTATTATCACATTAATATTTATAATTTAAGCCACATTTGCCGTCTCTTTTACCTCTGTCATTTTGTTTCGTTTGATTTATTTTTAGCGAGATTTTTGGTATCTTTAGACAGTATCAAATTCAATACCTTTATCATCTCTTTATCATCTGATTACTATAATCATATTATGTCCACTCCATCATTCTAAAGTCTACAAATCGAATTAAACTCGTCCCATCTGACAACTGAATCTAAAATAGGTCAAAAAATCATCATTATCATCAGATCATTATGCCCGTTTTCACCATCAATCCCTAATTTTTATGTGACCCATATGAAAACAAAATTCCTCTTATGTGTTGCCATAGGGGTCACTTAAAAATTAGGGATTGATGGTGAAATCGGGCATTATAGCCTTAGGAACGCGGCTCTAGCTAATTTACCAGAGGGAAAATGAGGATTTGGCTTAAACTCCCCTGGCCAGATGGATTAGAGAGGCCTGATGTTCTGAGGTCACGTTTTTATGGAGCACCCTGTATTTTTTTTAATAAACGCTTAATTTAAATTAATGGTATTTTTTTAAGGTTACTTGCTTTTTTTTTATTACAACTTTGGTAACAGTTAATTTCATTCACACCTGGAATTTAAATCCCCACCAAAACTTAAAAATGTTCTAATCTTTATTGTGTATTAAAACAATTTATTTTTTTAGCTTTCAAAAGGATAAACAAAGGTAAAAGACGTGCAATTTATGTATTTATGCTTTCTATGTGCACTATTTATAAGTATTTATGTATGTATTTTATCTATTGCTAAATGTTCACTTAGTATATGTTTATTTATTGATGCACTATTGATTTATTGATGTTTTAGTTTTTAGCTGAACACCGTTATCCTGATTTTAGCCATAAGAGAAAAAAAAGTTTTTTTATAGTTTTTACTCTTCCTTTATTTTCACCCCTTAAATATTTTTTGTTTTAAATATTAAAGTTTGCCAATGTCCTTTTTTTCATAAAAAAATTTCTCAGCTGTTCAGGCTTAAATTCGCAACAGACAGTCGTACTTTCGCATTCATACTATTATTTTCATTATGTATTTTTAAAACTTTCGATTCTTTGCATACAAATCTACGCTTAGGAGCTCTTGTAGTTTCGTATGCGAATCAGAATTCTAGTGCTTCTTAAATAAGGCTGTAGTTTGAGATTTTCACAGCCAAGGTTTCTACTAAAGCTGTTACGTAAACGACAGAATATTTAGCAAAAGGCTTCATAGTTAGCACGTGATCATTATCACGGCGTAGACAGTACATCAAACTAAATACTTATTGACATCTTTAAGTAGTTGAAATAAGTGCTATTATTGCAAAAAATGTGACATGTGATGTACAGCAGCGTCAAATAGTTCGTGACACCCAAAGTGGCCAAAAAGTTGACAACACAACCTTATTCCAATTGTAACAAAGACGTGTTGCGAACTTTTTGGCTACTTTGGATGTCACGAACTATTTGACGCTGACTGTACTACATAAATCGAATGCTTCTAAGTTGATAATTCGATTCTAATGCGAATTGAATTAAAAGTATCGCATAGTACGATGGTGCCGGCATTTTTATTGGTCATTAACACTGGTAAATAAAGCTGGTAAATACCTAAAAATATCATATCCGTGTCTAACTAATATTGTAGATTCTGTCCGTGACTGTGTTAGTCTGGATTTAAATTCTTTAGCATCTCGAAAACGAAAAAATCTCGGAAATCAAAAGGTCATAAGGTAAGTGCCCCCTACTTCGGTATATTAAGGCTCTTACGACTTTAACATTTTATTTAAAAATAACCAAGCATGATATCAGTATGAAAGCTTTTGTATGCTAAACTTTGGTCTTTTGACAGTAAGTTAATACATAATTTATAGTTATATAGTTTGAACTTTTTTTTATATTAATTGTTCTGCGGACCTCTTGTTTGGNCCCCCCCCCCCCCTTCTCCTCATAATCCCACACCTGGAGCTGTTTCAAGTAAGGGTAGCCCCCCCCTGAAAATAACCGCAGATACGCCAATGACTCATAATAAAAAGTAAGTAATTAATTAATTTCATAGGTAGGTAAGTATTACAAACTAAAAAATATATCGATTTCTTTGATGGTATGTGTCATAAAAGTACCTAACACCATACATTTATATATCACGAACTTGGAAAAAAAGTAACAATAATACGGCTCCTTGTTTCGTGATACTGATTATTCCAAATTCCCCAAGTAAAATTCATGGATTATTGTCAAAATGTATCAATTAACTATTATCTATCCCATATACAATACAAATAAACAAAGATAAATAAAATAAATCGAAATAAATCCAAAATTATGCTGGTACTACTTATGCTAATTTATCTTAAAATTGGTCATTTATGTGAACTTCAAACTCGTGTCATACAAATTCTAGTGAACGAAACATATACCGAATGTAGGTCATGAGAAACTTAAATAAATGCATTATTTGTTTCATAACTGACATTTAAAATATCATAAATAATTATTTAAAAACCAAGCATCAAAATGTTATCCATAATATCCTTGAATCGGTAGTGTCACGAAATAGGGGACAACCGAAAAATAATATGTACGCTATTTCGTGAGTCAATTAATCGCAATTTTAAAGGAATTCTACGTTTTCATATAACTTTTTTCTAAGCCGAATCAATTGTCAAGGAACACATGAAACCACTATTACAAGTTTTATTTAAATGGACGTTCCTTCGCCTTTTTATAAGCTTAAGAAGTTGGAGCGCTAACCTTACGGTGAGAGCAACCTTTGCAAGCCGCACGGATGGTTTTGGCTCTCTGAGAGTTTGAAGCTTCGTATTGCTCTCATTTTTGGCGCCACAATGCTGGTACTTGG